GCGGCTTCAGCCTCTCAGTGCTGCGCTTCAACCCGCTGCACCACCAGGGAGGGCCAAACAAATATATTCTTATGATATGCTACTCAGTGTAGATATCTCAGGGGTCTCAAGCCTCCAAGGAGGTGAAGTATTTTCATCTTGCATTTTTTAGGAGACATAAGGAGTCACTTGCTTGAGTTAACCCAACGGGGGTTCTTACACCCTCTAGGCAGGCTTTACTACCTATGCCACCTTGCCTGTCATTGTTGGCAGCTGTTCTGATTTAGTGGCACACCACGTGTTGAACAGTCAGGAACAGCTTACTGAATAAATGACTAGAACTCCAAGGAGCTCACTTTGCTACCTTCTTGACACAAGCTGTGCAACCTCTATCAACCGACATTTTCCGGATAGAGATGGAAGTGCTCTGAAAAATCAGAATTTCCATGCTAACTTATGTTAAGACCTCCCTTTTTTGTATAATCATAGTATCATAATATTCTGAGCAACCTTCAGTTTACAACTGGATTGGCTTAGCCTCATAAGGCACTGCCCTGGCCCAGACAAACAAGCACTGCATCAGGCAAGGAATTCCTCTTGAAATCAAAAGTGATTTTACAGTTGGTTGATTAATAAAAGCAATTGGCTGTTATTGCAAAGTCAATATTAAGGCAGTACTGGAATATACTCTTTTACTGCCCAGGAGGAAAACCCAAATCTTATCACTCTACTACCCCAAGTATACTTCTATTCAGTTTCTAAAGAACCACTCAAACTTTCAGCTATCTAGTCTTTAGATATGGAAATTCACCCAAGTTGCCTATTCAGAGCTAATCAGATTTTCTACTGTGTAGACTTCAAAGGAATTCACTTAAGCTTTCTAACTAGTTTTTCAGGATTCTACTGTTTAGTCTTTAGATAAGGAAATTCACCCAAGTCTCCTATTCAGAGCTAATTAAGTTTTCTACTGTCTAGACTTCAAGAAAATTCACTTAAACTTTCTAACTAGTTTTCAAAAGAACTTTGCTGCAATTTGATTTACAAGAAAATTTCCTCTTCCTGTCCTCACTTTATTTTACCCCCTAGGATGTCTCAATGAAAATAAAAGCTGTTAAGTAGTAGATAAGGTTTAAGGGACTTTATTTTGGTTAATCTTCACTGTGGTAAATATAGTAATATTAGTCTTAAACTTTGTGAGTCTATGTACTTATTTAACCTTGATAGGTTGATTTTAAAAATGTTATAATCTCAACTAAAGGTCAAACGATCCCAGAGTATTCTTAGAAAAAAAGGTGGGCCCTCCCTGGTGACACAGCGGGTTAAAGCACAGCACTGAGAAGCTAAAGCCACTTCTGCATGAGTTCTCCCTGCCCCAAAGGTGACCACATGGCGTGGCAGACCTCTCCTGACCTGCCCGCTGCTCCCCTCAGCAGTATACTTGGTCAATCTGCCTGTTCTGCTCCCCACTCTGTCTCTGGTGAAGCCTCTCACCACCCCTGAGCCTCTGGCCTGTACCCCAGTTCTGTATGCACAAATAAATAAATCTAAAAAAAAAAAAGGTGATTGTGATCTCAGCTAATGTCATCCCACTGCTTGCTTAAAATGTATAAAATAAACCTCTGCTAGAGGCAGAGCAGAAGACTTGCACCCAACTCCTATTCCCGGGTCTTCCTTGCGCCTGCTGCTCCCACCTTGAGACCCTGCCTGTTCTGCCCCCCAATAACCTGTGATCGGGGCAAAGAGTCTCTGACACCTTCTAGTATGAAGGCCAAGAATAGTTGCTGTCAGCTTGTGACAACTGTCTCATCTGAATGTTGACCATTGGTGTTTAACAGTAAATAATACCTCAATTAGAATTGTCTGTATTAAATAACAGAAACTGACTCTGGCTGATTCAACCAAAACCAACAAATTCAGGAAACCCTCAGGATGCTCAGGAAGGCAGGCAAAGCAGTGGAGACCCAATTTAGGTTTACTACTCCAGGATTGCCTGAGACTAATCTCTTGATAGAAACCACCTGTTGCTCTGCTAATCTGGCTAGCACTAGGCTCAGGGTGCTGTTGCTGTGTCCACCTGCTTCTGAAGTTGGAACTGCATGATGCTGGGCTTGTACCCTCCATCCACCTCTCAGGGCATGGGATGGGCTCACTTGTGACTGATCCAGTTTGAATCTCTCCCCTCACCTCCTGCCTTTACCAAGTGAAGATGTCCCAATTTTAAAAAAGAGCTCAGATCTTGGGCAGCCTCAAACCTGACATATAGTTACTTCATCCTGTTTCCTCAGAATTTTCTCTTTGGACAGACCCTTTCTGTTCTTTCACCCTCAATTCATAGATGAGACCTCTAGAACCCTTACCACACTGTCATTAACATTTGGTACCCAGAATTGAAAGTAGTCTTGCAAATGAAGTCTGGCAAACCCAAGGTATAATGGGATTCCTTCTTTCTAGATCCAACTCCTTCACTTCCGTTAATGCAGTATAGATTTCATGACTTTTCCAGGCAGCCTTACTATAACTGAAGACTCATATTGGCTCATGTCAAGCTTGTGGTCAAACTGAATTCCCAAGCTCTTTTCATGTGAAAGGTCTCTTCAATCATTTCCTTATATACTTGACTTCCTGACTACATACACATATAACTGAGTAATATAAAACTGTATTTGTAATACTTAAACTATTTAGTTCACACCCTTAAATTCCTTTATTTAGTTACATCACCCAGAAATACTGGTGCCCCTTGGGCCAATTTGGCCACACATTCATTTTGTTGGACTGAGCTGATGTTTTTTGAGAGCTGAACTGGTTGCCAAATGTTGAATACAGGAAGATCTCACATGAAAAGCAGGCCTTCTGACTTTTTTTAAGAAGCAGCAGGAACTGGCAATGTTAGGTCTTCCTCCAGGCAATGTATGGCAGCTATGCCTGCCCGCTCACTTTGGTCTCCACCCTGTTCCATCACCATCCCTATCTCTACTTCATTCACTTGCATACCCTGCCCAGTCTCTGGTTAAGTCTATGTTTGCAGCTTGTTTGTGACCCTGCTTCCCATGGCCAGCATTGGTCCAAAGAGTGACCCCCTGGGACAGGTAGGTGTCAGGGTTTAAACTTCAGGCTTGTGACAGTGACAGATGAGAGCCTGCTAGTGCTAAAGTCATTGTATGGAAAGCTCCTAGAACTTTGACTGCGACTTGGCTTGGGAAGTAGAGGCATCCAGTGAAATACAGAGAGGAACCAAGCACGATGGCATTCCGTTTATAAGAATCTGGCCAAGTATTAACTGGGCTTCTGCAAGGTGCTCCTGATTCTCATCATCTGTTTATCTCCTTTGAAAACCTAGCCAGAAAAAGTTTTATTGCTCACAATTGAAGAAGCCAGGGCATGTCACCATAAGCAACCCTGCTCTTTTTAGTGTTCCTGGTGCCCTAGCGCTCCCCTCAGGCTCTTGTTGCCCTTGTGTCCTGTGCCCATGGTACCTGTTTTGGGGTCAAGCATTCTGGGTCCACGCCATAACTCCCTGTGGGAAAATCAGAGTAAGAAAAGGAAAATGTGAAGATGTTTCAGGGCATGATAGGAGGCTCCTTTCCCGGCGCCCCCCAGAGGCCAGCTCTGAGGTGTCAGCCAGCCATGCAGCCCAGCCATGCCCTCTACTTCAACCAGGTGCCAGTGCTGAGGAGACTAATATGCGTGAAATGCACATACCATGGACAGCCCCTGGACCTAAAGCAAGTTGGCATAGTTTCCTGCTGCCATCTGCAGCAAAGTTTCCAGGAAGGAGAAGCTTGATAGGAGCGCATGAGACCGGGGGTGATTCTGAGCCCTACTATGTGCCAGGCACTGCCTTTGACATCAGAAATAAGTACAGTGTAAACACATGGATCTTACAGTCACGTGGCATGTGTTATTTCTGTGGGCTAAGGTTAGAAAATGCAAAAATGAACAAAATTCAGTCTCTGATTATTTTATAATTATGCGCCTTACATTTCTCCTTGTCAAATAAGGTTAAAATGATCACAGCGCTGTTTCAAGGGTCAAGTAAAACATGCACAGACATGTTGTTGGCATTTAAGTCTCATTAAATTCTACTTTCTTTATGAAAAAATCCGAAAACTTAACCCGACCTCACACACCTCAGGCGGGTTAAGTGCGCGGGTCAGTACCCGCAGAGCTCCGCCTGGCGAGTCAGGGGAGCCTCGCGCCTAGAGCCGCAGGCGCGGGCGCGCGGGTAAGCGGAGCCGCCGCCAGGGGGCAGCGCGCGGCAGGGAATCCTGCCTGGAACCGGCCCGCCGCCCGCTCCCTGCTCGCGGCCAGTACGCACTTCCGCCGCTCTGACGCTCCAGACCCCGGGCCTCGGAGACCGCGTTCGCCCCTCCCCGCGCCCCTCAAGAGAGACGAGCGCGGCTCGGGGTCGGCGAGGGCTGGGGTGCGTGCGCCGCTAGACACTGGGGCCCGGGTGCAGATCCCACGGGCCGCGGCGCGCACCTCGGCCCCTGACGGGAGGGCCTGCTGCCGCCGGGAGGAGCCCGAGCCGCGCGGGGCGCCTTAGACATCCCAACCGCCCCCCCCTCGTGCCTCGGCCAGCACCCGCCCGCCGCTCAGTGTGGTCACGCTGGGCGCCGCCTGGAGCCGGGCCTGCCCAGGACACCCGGGTGTCGTCGAGGAGCGCGCTTGGCTGGATCTCCGAGCCGTCCGCCGGTGCCAGTGAGGACAGTCGGGGTAACAGCGCCCAAACTTTCCTTCGCGGCTGCGCTGGGAGGAAGCTGACGGCTCTGAGGCTGTCCGAGCCGAGGAAAGACTCGCGTGGCAGGGGGGCATGAGGCCCAACCTGCGTGGAGGGGCCCCCTAGTGCCGGAGCTCTGGAAGGTCCCGCGGGGGCAGGACTAGCTCCCCGCGGGCGCTGTCTCCCTCCCTGTCCCCGCAGTGGCCGTGACCCCCGCGCTCCCAGTGCACGTGCTCGAGGCTGAGGCTGAGGCTGAGGCGGCGGCCGGGTCCGGCAAAGCCAGCGGGGACGAAGACTCGCCCGCAGCGCGGGGCGCATGGAGGCGCTGCGGGGGCGGCGGGACTCTCCGGGTGCGCGGGGAGCGCGCGCGCGGCGCCCAGTTCTCCTGGGGAACCGCACTAGCCGCGTCTCGCTCTTCCCGCCGCGGGGTTCTGGGCCCCTGGCGGCCGCTTGGAACGCCGAGTCCAGGGAGGACCGAGCCTGCCGGCGCCCCTAGGTCCCCGCGCGGAACGGGACTACTCAGCCGGTGTCGTAGCGCTGCGGTCCCTAGGACCGGGCGGGCTCGGAGGCGGGAGTCGCTGTTTTTCGCCGCAGGCGAGGAAGTATCGGTGGGGCTGTGCTCTCCGGGGATCCCGCCTAGTCTTCTGCACCGAGGCGGCGGTGGCGCCTTCTCATGCTGCTCGGGGCTTCCTGGCCGTGCGCTTCCCGGGCCGCCGCTGCGCAGAGCGAGGGCGACGACGACGAGCCAGGCGGGCGGCAGGGGAGGGCGGCGGTCGCGGCCGCCACTGCGGACGAGGACATGGACGAGTCGTCGCTGCTGGACTTGCTGGAATGCTCGGTGTGCCTGGAACGCCTGGATACCACCGCCAAGGTGCTGCCGTGCCAGCACACCTTCTGCCGCCGCTGCCTGGAGAGCATTGTGTGCTCGCGCCGCGAACTGCGCTGCCCCGAGTGTCGCATCCTAGTCGGCTGCGGCGTGGACGATCTGCCGGCCAACATCCTGCTGGTGCGTTTGCTAGACGGCATCAGACAGCGGCCCCGCGCCGGCGCCAGCCCGGGTGGCAGCCCGCCTGTGCGCCCTGGCTCCAGCTCGGGGGGCGCCTCAGCGCTCGCGGGCGGCGGGGGTAGTGCTGCTGGCAGCGCCCCTGGCTCCCCCGTGTTTCTCTCTTCTGCTGCGGGCAGCGCCACCGCCAGCCTGAGGGAGCTGACAACCAGCAGGAGCCCAACTGTGGCAAAGGTGGGTATCTGCTTCGTGGTGTGGCGCCAAGTGATGTGTGTGTGTGCGCGCGCGGGTGTGGGAAGTATACTAGGGGACAGGGAGAGGACAGTGTCCCTTGCCTGCTGCTTTCTCGATAACTTGCTTCCCTACTTGCCAACTCTTGGATTCCGTACCCGCTCCATCTCTGTTGCTGATAAACTTTTTGTTTGTACTTAGGGTCTGCCCATCCTCTTCTGGAATCCCTCTTCCTACTACCTGCACTTGCTTCGTTGAAGCATGTGCTCCCAGAGCACCTGGTCCTTGTTGCTAAGCTTACTTAGGAAGCGTTCTCCTGCAGCTTCGACACCTGACCTCTCTGCCTCTGCTTCCTTAACTTTGCTGGGTCCGCCCTTCTCAGAAATGACCGGTTTCCCCTAACACTAGCCCAGCACACGTCCTCTGCCTGGCCTGCCTGAGGTTTTAGTGTTTCTGATTGCAAAGACCTTGGGCTTCCTACCTTGTGCTGGGCTAGGGAAGGTTGGGAAGAGGGAGCCCTGTGACTGGGGGCTGGAAGATTACAAATTACAAACTCCATTTAAGGGAAAGAAGGAGTTAACTGGGGAACCTATGGAATGTTTGACCCAGTCCACCTTGGGTTTGTTCTGGTAGGAAGCCCTGATCCTCTCCTAGCTCTAGGCAGCTTTATAGTCCCAAACGGGTCATCATTTGAGGTGTTTTTGGTTCTCTTACAGTATGCAACATCCATGTTTCTGTTTTAGTAGAAAGACCTAATCTTGAGGATTTTGGTCAGTTGGTTTCATTTCACTTTACCCTGCTAATGTGGCACTGTTTACTAAGGGAGATAGGTAGCCTATGGGTGCTGATTTAAGTGAAAAAAATGTATTGGTGTTTTAGATCTTTAAATGTAGAAATGTCTATTAAAAGCAAAATAGTTTTCATTTAAATTGCGAATTAGATAATTGTTGCTCTTTTATGATTATTATTTGTTTTAGGAAACAACTATGTTTCTGTACTTTTGATGAATTAAGGAGCTGGTGGAACATAACTCACTTAAATAAACCTTTAAATATGTATAAAGTGAGATACTGGGAAAATATTGCCACTTCAATTACTCAGTACTGCCACATCTCTGAGGTTAGGAACTTAAGTCCGTGGATGTGGAGTTTTAGAGTTAAATGTTATACTTCACCAAACTGGGTGATCCTGTGGATCACTAAGAATGGAATTAAAACAGTCAAGGAATGTTTATATTTGGGCTCACTGGTGAGGAGGAATTATGTAGTTTTCCTTTGGTTTTAATTGATGCTAAAGATTTTTAAATCATTTTTTTTTCCTGTTCTTACTGTTTTAATCTAAGGTATTATGAAGGGCTTTATTGTAAAAGAAGCACGTTATCGCCTCCTGCTTGGAAAACTCAGTGATAGCTGGAATGATGCTTTACTAGCACAAGAGCATTTTGATGATCACATGTTTATGGATAACTTCCCACTTCATCTTCTGTGAACTGTGTTTGGTCAGGAGATAGGGTTCACCTATGCTACAAGAAGCCATGTAGCTCTGAGGTAACTCCTGGAGTTCTGGACATCTGTAGCATTAAATATATTGTCTAAGGGGTTGAACTTATTGTAATGATATTTAGAAATGGGGGTTAACGGTTATTGGTGAACTTTGGGGCTACTAGCTAGCTTTCTCAACAGACACATTTAACTATTGGACTATGTGTACCATTTTCTGTGCTTTAGGGAACATATTTTCCTCCTTTTTGTGGTGTTAACTAGGTGTGATCTTCAGTCATTTCTTCATAAGACTCAAAAGGACTAGTTTATGGGATTACGAAGATCTGAATTATACCCAATCAATGACTGTTTTCAGAAAGGAAAAAGCGGGAGTGAGGATTATAATATCACTTATTTTTTTACTGATTGATTTTTAATCAGTGAAGGTTTATTTGGGTGACCAGTAGTCCCGCATGCTATACTTTTGCTGCCATTCAGGGTAATAGTCGGTTCCATTGCATTTCGGGAAATGAGGTGGAATGTTTCAATAATGAAGTATAGAAACCCTATTTAACAGGCAGAGACTTTAGCTGAAAAGTACTTCTAAGTAGGCCTTCTCTACTTTATTGTTCATTGAAATTGCTTTTCTCCTGATAACAGCTGAATGCTGATGGTGTTGCATGTTGTTTAAAAGATAGGTACTCATTATTATCATTCAGCAAATACCATCTGTGACTCGATGGTAGGTTGTTATAAATGACATGTTTCCCTGTTTTCTCAATGAGAAGCTTCTCAAGCCTTCTTTTGGGCCAAACTGGGATATGTAAACATTTTAGGTATTAAGATACAATCTGCTTTAGTAGTTAATTAATTTAGTTACAGTTCAACTTGGGGAATGCAATAATTCCTGTTCGGTTCCATTTGCACTTAATGAAGTAGTTTTTTTGAAACTCTTCACTTGCATCTTTTTCATTTATTAGGGTTTTGGTCATCATCAGCATCACTTAGAATCTTCTAACCTTCATGGGATCTTTGGACATGAGACTAGTTAATGATGTTGTCTCTGTGAAGCTTGTACCAAGTTAGAGATATCTACCACCTAGAGTTAGAATTGTTGGCTTCTTCACTAGCATATTGGAAAATGCTCATCATCACATGTTACTTCTTAAAGTCAATTTTAAAAGTCCTGCTTAACAGTCAGGTCTTGAGAGTATTTAATACAATTACCTAATGTGTGCTTAGCTTTCTTAACTTGCTTTTTCTTTTGTCTTGACAGTTTTGCAAAGTAACCCCTTTAGCTCCCCCAACTAACATTGATTGGGGTGTTTCGGGAAAACATGTCTTTATAAAAGGGTTTTGTGGCTTCTAATTGAGTGTTTCAAAGACTACTTTTAAGCCACGCTTCACTAAATTTCTGGCAATTCCATTTTTTCCTGAATGATAAAACAATTCTTTGCCTTATATTTGGGTACAGACAGAATTTACTATATACTTGCACTATGCTAGGCACCATTCTAAGCATGGAGTGGGCATGGATTCTCTTTATGGAGCTGACTCTAACTGTTGGAAGCTGTTCTACTCTCTGTACTCCGGAGGTGTCTGTGCGTACTGCATTGGATTACTCTAGAAGTTTGTGAAGGACATTTTCCCAAATTAGAGAACTACAGAAAGCTTGGATAATATTATTAATGGTAAAAATCATGGCTTAGAGCCTAATTAGTTTGTCTGTCTGAAGGTACTTTGGCATGTATCTATTCCAGTATTTCCAATATATTGGAACTTTCTTGTGTGTTCAGTTCCTGTAATAGAAAAAATAAAATATATTGGGTATACATATAAATATTCAGTATTTTATTTTATAAAAACATACCTTTGTCTTTGTTCACCTTATTTTGGATGTAGGGATGAAGGCTTTTTTTGAGCTCCAAATTGTTTTTCTAGCTTAGACTACAACCACAATTGATGATTTTCATTCTGTTTCTTTCACACAGAGTGAAAACTAAAAGGCTTTCAAAGAATTCTGAGTGGAACATCTATATTTTAAACAGCCTTCTCAATGTTTCATGTTTTTGTTGTTGCCAGATTTGACAGTTTTAAAGCAGTCTGTTTTTGATGGGTCTTTGCTAAGCAGTCACCATGGTTTCTCAAGAAGTAACTATTTTACAGTCATACTTCATTGATTTACATAATATTTAATTAAAATTATATTTTTCATTATAAATACATTTGTGTATACATGCGTAGGAAGCGGAACCATGAATTCTTGGTAGCAGAGGTCTTCCTAAGCATGATGGACAGGTTGAATAGACCAGTCAGCTATCTGTGGCAGGGTGCCGTAGGGCCTCTAAAGGGAGAAATGGAGTGTTGGTTAGTCCAGGTGGTCAGCTAGCTAGGGGTTGGTTCAGAGAATGTCTATAGTACTGGTAAGCTAGTCAATGTGTTCTTTAGTTATTGACAGTCAGGCAGCTTATGCCTGAGCTTTTCTGCTTAACAATTTTGGAGTGCCTACCCAGTGCCAGGCACTTTGACATATACCACCTCATGAAAAGTTTATCAGAATATTCCTCAAAAATTTCCAAATAAAAATTCCATGCAGTTATCCCACTTTTAGTTCCTTATCCAAAGAATACAAAAGCATTAATTTGAAGCTTAACATATATTCCCATGTTTATTGCATTATTATTCACAATAGCTGGGAGCTAAAAACGATCTAAGTACCCATTGACAGATAACTGGGAAAGAAGCTGTAATATACACAATGAAATACTTAAAAAAAAAAAAAAACTCACCATTTGCAATAACATATAAATCTATAGGGTATTATGCTTAGTGATATGAGTCAGATAAATAAAGACAGACACCTTATGATTTCATTCATGTGGCACATAAACAAAACAAATAAATGAACAATATAAAACGTAATTGGACTTTTAGATTGTGAGGTGAAATTTGTGGCTACCAGAAGGGAAAACGGAAAAGGGTTGATGAGTTGGGTAAAAGGGGGCAATTAAGTGTTGAAGAATAGCATTGGACTTCTAGTGAACATAGTGTGGTATATATACATTGAGCTGCACCTGAAACATAATGTAATGTTTCTTAGATAAAATTTTTAAAAAAGAAAAGCTCACCCTAAGCCCGCAAAGTGGGGGTGTCATTTTCCTATGAGACCCAGAAAGATTGCTTTGTGGGTAGAGGGCTGGGAAGGGAACGAGTTGGGCTCTAATCGGCTTCCATTCCGCTACCCTTTCCAATCCTCTCAGTTATATGGTGGGCATTTTGTTGTTGGGTCTTGAATGTAACAAAGATTCCAGAGGAGAAGGCCCAGAGTCTGGGGGCCTCACTTGAAGACAGCATATAGGGAAACAGACAACTGGTTGACTTCTGGTAGCCCTGATAACAAGGGGAAGACATGAGTCTTGGTAACTTGACAGATGAATCACAGTGAAGTCCTTTCTGCACCTGCTTCTGAATATGGAAACAGCACATTTGAAACAATCCTGAGTTGTGTATCACTTTGTGGGCAGCTAGTGATTAAAGCTCACTGAATGAGTGCCATGTTCCTGGTCTTTTCTGGGTACCTTCTGTGTGTCAGGGGCTGAATCAAATGATTTAAGTGAATCTCATCTGTTCTTCATTATACTTTCACAAAGTAGCTAGAAATCACTGATGGGGAAAGTGAGGCTCCAAGATTTTTTTTTGGCTCAGTGGTACACAATTAAT